GAATCAGCTCTTGCACCAAGATTTTCTTCTGCTTCCAATCCTTAATTTGAACTCGAATGCTTAATGTATTTCTTCTAGCGAATTCCTCTTCAATCTTGTATTTTTCTCTCAATTTTACAAAGTGTGGAATCCTCTTTTCAATGTGTAGGAACCCCCTTTTCAATGTTTGGAACCCCTAATTTGTGTTTTCTTTGGTCTATTTATAGTTTCTCACACGTCCTTGGCCAAATTGGAGTCTTTTTGTGGGCTTCTCACGGCCCAAACAACAAAACCTAAAAATGACAGCGCATCGCCTAGGCGCCATGATTGCAGCACCTGGGCACTGCAAATCTGTAAAATTTTGGAAAGTGCAGCGCCTGGGTGCTGTGTTTACGGCGCTTGGGCGCTGAGTTGCTATTCACTTTGCGTCTGTTTCAATATTTTTATCAAAACTTTTTTTTCGATGACCGATTGAGATTATTCAAGATGATTTGGAAAGATAACTCAAAGAGTTACAACTTTGATAGAAATAGCTCTTCTTCAATTCGAACGTTTACTAGGCAAAAAATGAGTCTCAATCTCTAACTAAAAATTTGAACATTCTTGTGCGGTTGAAAATTGATTTGTTTTTACTCCTTTTGATCTTTAGTTGTACCCATTTGACACCTAGCATTCTCGAATCTTCATCGTGAGTTTTGACACAACTTTTGAGTATTTTCACTTTAGCCCCTAAGCTTTGGATCTTCCCATTTTTCACTTCTTTATTTCAATTTCACTTTCATTCATTGAGTTTCACCTAATAACAAATTATTTAAATTATGCTATAATTTTATTAAAAGAATTACGAAATGTCAATAATTTGGAGCCCGAATAAGTTTATAAAATACACTTATCAGATGTCAACGAGCCAAGCCTAGTCGATTCGCTAGTCGAAACTGAACGCTCAAACTCGACTAAAGTAAAAATGGTTCGAGCTTTTTTTGGATTGAGCTCGACCAAAAAATTTGGGTTCAACTCGAGCTTTCGGTTCAAGGTTTATCGAGTCAAGCCGAGCGGGCTCATGATTTATTTTTAAAAAAATAACAGGCAACAAATGTTGCCAGGCTAGCCTTTCTTCATTGCGATAAAGAGAGAGAAGGTGTGGATGCTGCAGCGATAGTCTTCCTTCCGGTCGTTATCGTCGTCGCAGCAGCATCAAGCTTACCTTTCTCAGAGTGACACTGCTACAACCGAGAATCGCGCGAGCGCTGCTTTGCTGTGGTTCGTTGCTCTCGGAGCGAAGCCGCTGTGGCGACGCTGTGAGTATCGCCCCGATGTTGCCTCTGATGAGGGTATGTGGCAAAGAGAAGGAAGAGAGGAGAGGAGAAAGAAAAATGATTAGGGTTTGTGATTGAAATTTGGTGGGGTAGATGTATGTAGGGTGGGTATATAGATTAATTTAATTTTATAATATTATTATTAATATTAAATGTGAAATTAATACCTGATTTTTATATAAATAAACTTTAAACTTGATTTTTGAAATTGAAACTTAAAATATCTGTCTCCACATAATTTCCACTATTTCAAAAGGGAAGATTTCATAATTAAGAGGTTTAATTTTACTAATTTAAAATTATAGAGTTTTTTTAATTTTATTAATTAATTAATTAATTAAGCATATATTTTATTAATTAAATATATCAAGGTCACAATT